GAAGGTCAGGCAGTGCTGATTACCTGTAGGAATCTACCCATGGATCCTTGAGGAGAAAAAGCACAAGGGCTTCTACCACCAGAAATATAGGAGGAGGAATGAAAGGGCCAGTTTATGCAGCTAAACTCAAGCTTAACCCCTTATGAAAGGTGGATTTCCTGTACAACTATTCTGACAAGCAGAGGATTAGGCACATCATACATTCTGCTTGGGTAAGAGACTCAGACCGAAGTGAACTGCCACAGAGGAACAAATCGCTTTACTGAAGATCTCTAAGGTGGCTGTCTGTTAAAGACAAAGAAATCTTGGTTGTGAATGGAATTTCCCAACTGGAGTCAACCTCCATACCTAACAATGCCATGTAGGTGTGAGGTCCCCACACAACTGAGTTAAGCTCTATCAGTCCCATATAGACAGCTATGATTCGCTATCTCTCTGGAGGAGCACGTGTGGCACTTTACCTCCTGCAATTCAGGATTACTAACCAACCATAAAAGCAAGCATAATTGATTATGAAAGGAATGCCAGTCTAGCCCTGCCTCAATCCCAGTCCCTAAATGTTCCCTAAAGGCAGTAAACACCAAGGCATACATAAGAAGTGTCTCTTGGGTGCCCTCTTGCTGCCACCAGGGCTTTTCTGCAAGGCTGAAATAGAGCTCTGCTCTGTGAACCGGTAGAGGAGGAAAAAGAGGGGGCCAGGGCACAGAAAAGGGAAGTTATTCCAGTGGTGGCCAATGAATAACATCCAATGATTTATAGGAAGTATAATCCAATAATGCAGTAAAATAAAACAGTGTGTGCATGAGATGGTTTTGATTCCAGAAATTATAAAACATATTTTTTTAAAAGAGAGAGAGCAAGAGGGGAAGAGAAAAAGGAAGAAAAAGAAAAAAGGGGGAAGGGCAGATTGGAGCAAATTGGGCACAGATGCGGGATGCAATGGGCTTTTAGTGATGCTCTTCCACAAATGTTGCTTCAATTATTCCTTTTCAAAAACTAGAGTTTTATTTCCTTAAATTACAGAATTTTTAAAAAATTAAAATTCTTGGCATGCTTGTGGTCTAGATCAACAGTTCATCCTCCAGCATCACGTCAGCCAATCAAATGGCTACTGAAGTGTTAAATGCTGAGGCACGTGGAGAAGGTCCCATTTTTCCCTTCAGGCTTGGGAATGCCACAGAACGATTACCAATTGTGACATCACTCTGGGAACCACCTATCACCACCACAAGATAATGTTGGACTCAGGCCAGGTAAAGAACATACTATACAATGAACGCTGGCTTGCCTTCTTCATCCATACATTCAATAATTACTGAGTGCCTAATAAATTCCAGGCACTATGCTGAGGGACCCTAAACATCCCTCAAATTTATCTGTCCCCAACCACTTCACTATAGAATACTAGGATTCTAGATTCTTAGTAGTCCCACTAATGTGGGATTTTTGCATAGGCCCCATTCATAAGAGGAGATAATAGCTCCCCCACCAATACCCCTGAGTGTTAAGATCACTGCTGAGACTGGAAAGTATAGTTGGTAAAATGATGTGGCATTAACTCAACTTATTTTCTCCTATGGACAGGGGGGTAAATCTGACCCCACAAACTCTACCTCCCTGAGCTCTGGGGAAAACTATAACCTAGGAAAAGGGTAAAGATGCCTTTCTTTCACCACCATCTAAGCTTTTTCATCCATTTTGTCTTGTGAGGTGTCTAAAGCTTTTAAACAGTTCTCTGTCTCTCTTGACAAGAAAAAAACATCTGAAAAGTAATCAGACTAAAGTGACAGTATCATTCCTGCCCCTGAACTATAGGTAATTTGAAGGAAAAAAAAAAAAAAAGACAATTATACAAGAGTAACACTGATCACACACACACACACACACACACACACACACATAAAATGAATTAGGGGTATCACAAAGGACATATGTTTTAGTAAGGACATCCCTGCTGCTCTCCAAATCATACTCTTTAGGTCCACATCTACAGGGAAAGCCTAAGCACAGATTGAAAGGACCTCGACTGCCTTGGGGACCACTGATCACCTCTGCTTCATTCTGGAACGTTCCTTCTCCACAGAGTCCAGGAACTGAGTTATGCAAACACCCACCCAGAAGGATATGTCCAAAAAGGAATGGAAGGAAAAATGATGGCCCAGATGTTCTGTAACATGCACTGACTGCCAAATCATCACAGACCCCAAGCACCTGGGAGGGCCAAGCAGCATCAGGCCCTTGCTTCCTGGTTTCAGACAGTCAGGGTCCCGCAGCTGGGTGGCTGGCGACTCTGACAGCAAGCAGAGTGGCCTGGAGAGAAGACTTTAGAAGGGCACCGGCTGACAGGACTTTGGGGCTGAACACTCAGGGCTGATTTATCACTTCCTTACTCATAAAAATGTGATTCAAACTGCTGCTGATTAGTGAAGGATTTAAACCTTTACCCTCTCCCCAACCCCCTTCGCTCTCCACCCCCGGCACAGATGCTGCTGCTCAGCCACAACACCCCCTTCTTGCCACTGTCCATGCAAGCACAGCACAGGGGCCCAGAGAAGATGACTCATATGCTGGGAAATGGAAAAGTGCATCTTCCCACCAACCAGCCCCGCTGTGTGCTCTGCTCACCCCTCTCCCAATGGCAGCCCACACAGTGGGGTCTGGACGGCCGCCTCAGCTGCACACCGGGTACTTGGCAGCACGTCCACAAAGCTCTCTGTCCCAGTTGAGTGTTATATCCTGTGGTCCAAGCTGTTTATCCCTGAAACACCCTAGGAACTTCTGACCACCTCATAGCATTGTCCTCTTGGCCCCATTGCCTCATGGAGGTGAGCATCAGGACAAGGCCAGAAACGAGTAGCAGGGTCTCAGGCACAGGCTTTGGCATGTCCTTCCTGGCCAGCAGGTCCTCATACAACAACCAGGGAGAAGAGTACTAAAAAAGGTCCCTGGCCTCAACTGGGGGAACCACCTATTTCCTCCTTTCTCTGTTCTCACCATCTCACCTTACTTTCGTCTGTATTTTTTAACCTTTACTAAACAACAGCTACAAGAAAGGACTCACTGGTGGCCTATGAAGGCCAAGGTATTCCTTTTCTTGGAGCAGAAGCTGCTGACAACAAATGCTTCACAGGCAAGAGCGCAGGTCCTTTACATTCACACCTCCCAAGATTACAGGTCACTTGGTGCTAGAAAAATACCTTGGCAGAGGCTGCAGCTCTGTGATGGGCAGCTCACTGAACTCTGTGGGTTGAGGTTAGAGGAAGGCAGGACAATGAACAGGAGGGCACCTCAGGAGGCCCCATTTCCTGAGTCCACTGAGCTTCCCACTTGGTAGCAAAACCAGCAGAGTCATGAAGAAGGAATCAATCTCCTGCCCCTTTGGACTTCACAGCCTTACCAGGACAGCACTTCACAAACTTTATTTCCTCCTTCCTGGAAACCACCACTGTCCCCTAGGACAGCATGCATCCTCCGAGCTGTTCTCAGGAATAATTAGCCAAGTTCAAAATGGCACCACAGCCTCTGCATCTTGTCTTCTGCTGGGAATTCTAAATGCTGTAAGCAGGCAACTTGAGCAGAGGAGATCTTCTATGATTCAGATATAACTGAAAACCCAGACAGACTAGCAGAGGGTCTTACAAAGTCCCAGGAAGAGACAAGTTTCAAGGGACATTGTGGCAAAATCACTCATCAGTAAGCTAATGTAGGACACTCAAATATAAAAGGAAAGGAAAATAAATCAATTTCAGCGTGAGAGAAAGCAACAAGAAAATGTGCGATAAGACCCTGGCCAGGTTACTCAGTTGGTTATAGCATCATCCATAATGCCAAGGTTGTGAGTTCGATTCCCAGTCAGGGCATGTACAAGAAGCAACCAATGAATATATAAATAAGTGGAATAACAAATCGATGCTTTCTCCCCTCTTCCCCACCCCCAAATCAATAAATAAATTTTTTAAAGAAAAGAAAAAGTACAATAAGAGAACTAGCGATAACCTGTCCAGAAACACCAGGTCTATTTTACAATGGAGTCTCCATGGGACAATTCCCATTTCTTGGCATTTCAGATAATAACCTTTCAGCCAGGAAACCAAACTTTACTCTCTGCCAATGCTTTAAAACAATTCTTTGGCATCGTGGAACAAATCTCTCTTACAAACAAACACACAAAATAATGTTATCCCTATATTACATATTTCCATAAAGGTAAACCACATATCCTTACCTAGATGGGAAGGGAAGGGAAATAAAGGGAAGGGGGAAGGGGAAAGGAGGAAGAGGAAGTTAGGAGAAAGAAAGGGAAATGGGAATGAGAAAGAACGGGATCCTGGTAACATCCTTTTGCTGTGACCTGGTCTTCAGGACATTTAAAAATTCTGCCAATCAGCATCTCTCTGCCCTCTCCCACCCCATCCCCTGCCTCAAAAAACCTCAGTATTCCAAAAAGCATTTTAGAATACACACTAGTTTGTTAGCCAAATTCTGGGCCTGGTGATTTTTGTGCTTCCAATTTGAGTCACCAAAGCTCATCAATTCTCTGTTCTTACTCCCTGGCAGGCTCCCACAAGGGATATCCCACAGGGAACTAGACTTTTCCATATTGAACAAACAGGGTACATGAGTCCAGAAACAGCTATTCCCAATCCCTGCCAAGCGTATGGTCTCTGCGATGAAACATTTCAGCAATGCCTCTCTCCTGGGAGAGCCTCTGGGTCTGCAGACTCCAAGAGGCCTTGTTGCTGCCTTTACCATGGCCAGATGTGCAACAGCATTTCTGGGTTTGCAAATTAAGCTCTATACCCATGATTCCCTCCTTCCATCCCACCCAAGTACTAGAGAATCATACAGATTTCAGAGAGCAAATTAAGGATGTGAGAGGCAATGGTGGGGAAGGGTGTGTGTGTGGGGGGGGGGGGGGGGGATTTAGTGATATGGTGGCATAGGGAAAAAAGCTAGATTAATCTTTATCTATCTAGATAAAGAAAGTGAACATGCCTTACCTTTCAACTGGGAGTTGTGTACAGCAAACATGTTGATGGTCATAAGCTGCAGCATGCGAGTACTTCCAACAGGAGATGGACTATGCTGCAGCAATACCTGGAACTCCTTGAGTACCTTCTCAGCCACTGCAGGGAATGTCTCCATCCTACAAATACATCAGCCCATCAGTAAGGGACATCCCCAAGAGCACTGGTACATATTTTCTCTCTCTCTCTCTCTCTCTCTCTCTCTCTCTCTCTCTCTCTCTCTCTCTCTCTCTCTCTGAAAGCACACAACAACTAACGCATAGGGTGTATCCTTACTACTTTCACAAACCTTCCTACAATCCTAAGATTGTGGACAAATTTAAGAGAAAGAAGTGTTCGAGGTTTGGAGATAAATCAACTCAATTTTGGATAAATTGCTATGAGTTATTATGCTTTGGTATGTTATTTCCTAACCCTTGGCAATAACTGAATTCAAACTGAAATGAAATCAAGGTTTCTCTCTGAAACAACTGGTTTTTCTAAATAGCAAACAAGTTTCCTTTAAGCTCCAAGACTTACATATTCCCCAAACTCTCTGGTTCACGAATCTAAAGATTCTTTACTCAAGGCTTTACTTCAGGAAACAGAAATAGTTCTCTGCTGCTGTCTTCTCAGGCACTGTCTCACCAACTGCTCCACCTGAGGGTCCCATATTTTCCCTGGAAGAATTCTCAGACTGAGGGCCCCCATGATCTGTTTCAGCCTTTCTTGTGTTGCTGTCCTCCTCACGCTCACAAGACTCTGCTCATCAAGGTCTGCATGTTTTCAGGCCAGTGGAAATATAATGCCCTGGCCAACTGCCACTCCCAATACAGGAAGAGCCTGTAATGTAGGAAGGTAGAAATCCAGCAAGTGACCTAGGGCTCCTGAAGAGAGGTCATTCAAACCACTGACTGCCAAATGTGGCCACTGGATCCCAAACAGCGGTGCATGCCTGGAGCTCCTTTGGCAATAGGAACAAACCACAGCTGAAGTTGTCAGAAAGAAAAAGCAAATTCAAACTTGGTGCTAGAGAGAGAAGCCAGGCACATTGAGCCTTAAGGCGATGCTGAACAATTCGTGGTCAGCGAAGTATCTTTTATCCATCCTCAACACCCCCACCCCCAAAGAAATGTTTGTAGTGCACTGGGTGACGGGGTGAGGAAGAGCTTCAGGCTGGATTAATAAACAGCTTCTGAAAAGCCACAGGAAAGGAAATCCTTCTCAAAAAAGACAGAACAGTTTCAAGTCCTAGAAAAAGGTGCTTCTAGTGTAACCCAAACCATGATCCTTTCCCCACTGAGTACGACCTTCCACAGGTTAGCAAACTAGAGAGATTTCTGACATCTTGGCAATCTTCATTCATTGCCCTTGGATGGCAACTCTTATTACTGACCTTCTGGTACCCAGAAATCATGCCACAACTATGGGTCAATTACAGTTTACATTCCAGTTCCCTTCTCTGCTGAGCTGTCTTCATTTTCACTGGCATAAAACATACTATGCATTTGCTCCCACCTCCCATATGCCATTTCCAGTGCCCCATCCCCCACAAAAAATATAAAACACACACACAAAAAAAAACACCAAAAACCCCTCTAAAATGTTTCAGAACCATTAAAACTCTTGGTAGGTTTGGAATGGCAGAATGATATGTTTGGAGCTGGATTGGATCCATTTTCCCCATGGGCTATAACAAAGGTTTCATTTTAAATCCTGACACTGTGCAGCACTCTTTCTGGTCGGAGGTGGGGAGGGGGGCTAGCACTTCTCATTACGAGAATAGCAGAGTTCACTCTGCTTGAAAAGCAGCCACACCGGGCAAGTTTCAGAGCCATGTGTCTCCGTGTTGAAAGGCGGTAGAGAGCCAACACAGAACGACATGACAGAGTGTCACGTGGGACAGTCTTGCTTCGAAGCTGTGTCTGAGGAAACCTCTTCCCTGGGATGGGAATTAAAACAGATCCATTAACGCTCCCTAGGTCAGACTGAGGTCTGAAAGGAGCAAGAGGCCAAATATCCATATCTTTTTGTTATTTGTTTATTTTTTTAATCTTCCCTTGCCTTTCAACTCAGTCGACATCAACAAAAGGAAAAAAAAAATCAAATGCATAAGGATGTTAGAATAACTTCAGTTCTGAGATATGAGGGAAGCTGGATCTCCTCAGACAAATCACTTTGTCAGGAAGTATCTGAGGGACGTGCAGAAAAAAGACCTTCCTCAGAGCTCAATAAAGGGGCTTCTGGTATCCAATTTTGTAACTAAAATGTTGTCTGATTTTGGCTTTAAATTACCTACAAGTAGTTTTATGTCTTCCTCTTTGCTCCACCCCATATTATAGAACAAAAATCATACTAAAACTGAAATAATGACAGAGTACAATTTATGTTTAGAAACAACCCACAAAATAGAATTATAGTTTTTATGTAAATATGTAAATGCAGTAAAAAAGTCTGGAAGAATATATAATCTGATGTCTAGTGTTATCTCTTTAGAGAGCACAGGGGTTTGGGGAGAGCTAAAAGAAATTTTGGCCTTAGCTATAATGTTATGTTTTTAGAAGGAGATTTTGTATATTACTTAATAACTGTTAGCCAAGATGCAACAATACAAAAAAAAAGATGCAGCAATACCAGTAGCAGCAGAGGAGGAGAAGAGAAAGCATAAAAATATGGTAACAACAGCAAAAAATTGGAAATAGCCTAACATGCCTAGTAACAGCTGGCGGTTAAGATGGCACATGTGTAAAATTTAATTCTATTTCTTAAAGTTGTATTAGATTTTTTAATCATGTTGGTAAAGTTTTACAAATATTAACTGAAAAATTTTAAAGTAGTTTAATCTCAACCCTTTGATACATATTTGTAAAACTAAATGTGTATGTGATGTATATAGAAAAAAAGATAAAAATATACATCAAATGTCAACAGTGGATAGCTATCTCTGGATAGTGAGAATATGGTTAACTTTTTCTTTCTTCTTTTTGCTGGGTTTTCTAAATATTTTATGTGATTTGCAATAAGCACTATGTACAATAAAAAGATTTCTCCTACAATGCATACTACTGACCTTTATATAAAACAATTATAATTTTATAAGTATTATCAAAATACAAACATATTTTTAACAATTCCAAGTCCAAAAAAGTGCATCAGTTTTTGAATTCCAAGAGGTCTCGAAGCAGGGCAAATAGCATGATGAGGCAAGCAAGTGAAAACTAAACTGGTAACTTTAACCAAAGCAATAACAGGAAGCAAAATTATTATATTTATCACAAATCAAAAGTCTATAGGCTGCCAGCTTCTTGACTTCCCTCAGTGGAGTCCAAAGACGGGGCTGAGCTGCCTGCCTCTCACTAGGAAAGCAAGTGTCTGTTAGGAGCCATGCTACACCCCTGACTGATTCCTCTTCCTGTGCCTGAGAGGATTCTGTCCCAATCCTTTAAAACTGCAGAAGATACAATCATTTTCAGGCTATGCATTTCACCAACTTAAGGGACTGCTTTCTGAAGTGGTCTCTAGAGACACCTTATCTCATTTGAATGGCAGTTTTAAGAAACCAGTCTCACACAACATGGAGTGACTCAGACAGTGACTTAACCGGGCAGGACCCAACCTCTTAGATGCTAAGGAACACAGCTGAGATGGACAACATTGTCTTTGGAAAAGAATCAGGCTTCCTAACTCTTCTCAACTTCTTAATTTTAAAATACTGAACAAGACAAAAGCAACCCAGTAGCAAAGAAATAAAACTAAGCCGAGTGACAAGGGTAGACATCAGAGAAAAAAAATCACAGTGCTACAGAACATAAGGACTGGATAGCTTCTACTTAAACAACTGATAAGGAAACCGAAGCCCAGAGAGGCTCTGACTTGTTCACTCTCAAGGTCTTGTAACTAGTTGGTGGTGAAAAACAAGCTCTTTGGCACTTGATTCTAACACTCCTAGCCTCTTTTTCACTGGCAGCTGAGAGTAACGAGGCTTGGGTTGCACACAGTAGGCATTCAAGCATATGCTGATGCAATTTGGAGTGCTGGGCACAGAGAAAATGAAGACTGGAGAGCAAGACTGGGGCTTTTCTCAAAAGGCAGGCCAGACAGTGGATGTGTCTTCAGCTGCTCCCCATTACAAACTCCTCACTCTTAATTCGTTTTCAACGCCTCCGACATTTCACATCTTCTTGGTAATTAGGCAACAGTCCATGTTGTTGTGTGTGGCTTGTGCTCATTGCTTTTCTAGTCTTACAGACTTCTATACTTTTTTTTTTTTCCAATAGAAAAGTTTTTGCTGTTTCTGCCTTCCAGAATAAATATGGGACTCAATTCTCTTGCACCTCCAGGGAAGCATAGGAGGGATAGTCATTAGGGGGCTGGAGCGCCTAGACTTTACATACGTTCTCCTCATGTGAACACTACTATAACTCACTTTTTATGAAGGTGCAACTGGATTGGCCTTATCTTTTGCCAAGAGAATATGTTACATGCAGGGATGGAAGAGATACTGAAAAATAAACTGGACCACAGCAAACCATCTCTGACAAATGAGATAATCTTTAAAGGATTCCAGAAAAGAAAATTCCTGAACATCTTCCCTGTGAAGTTTTCTTACACCTAACCCAAATCTCTCCAGCTACTTTCTCTTGCTGTCTTCCCATAGAAATCAAAACTACCTGGTTATAACTCTTTTATAGTTAAACACAGTTAGGGGAACAAACAACTGTCTTTAAATAAACCTTTTTTTTTTTTAACCTTAACTTTTTTTAAGATTAATTTTTCCTCTAGAAATCATTTCCTAGCTTTTTAATCATTACTGTGATTATTTCTCAAGCCTCCTCCAAAAATACATAAATCTAAATGTGAGAATTTTAAAAGAGCGGAAAAAATATTAATGCCTAACTTGATAAAAATATATCCTAAATATTCCTACATTTCAGACCAAGATTTATAACTTCTTTAGTCCCAAAGCCTCTAAAAAGCTAACAAATACCTAGAGCAGTGGTTCTCAATCAGGAGCAATTTTGCCCCCCAGAGAACATTTGGCAATGTCTGGGGGCATTTTTAATTATCACAACTGGGGAGTGGGGATGGAGATAGGGGACACGATGCTGCTGGCATGTAGTGGGTAGAAGAAGCGTGGGATGCTGTTAAACATCCTGCAATGCACAGGACAGCTCCCTACAACAAAGAATTATAATGCTCAAATATCAATAATACAGAAAGTGAGGACTTAAAGCAACATGGCACATAAAAATTTAAAGAACATGAGAAAAGGAGAGAAAAACTGAGTGAAAAGGTAGTAAGGGAAAGAAAGATTTAAAAAATGAGAACTAAAAAAGATGATAAAGAGATAAAGAACCAAAGTAGCTATTTTAAGTGCAGCACAATAATACTTCCTGCTATAAAATGATACTGATATCATCTTGCCCACTTGAAACTTCACTTTACATTACTCACTAATAACTGACTTGGGTCTACTATAACCGACCTACTAGAATACGAACTAGATCCTTCTCTCCAATCTTTCTCAGTCTATCCATTTCTGTGTGAATGGTTCACTCATTCACACAACAAATACTTACTGAGCATCTAATACATTCTAGGCACTTAGAAACAACACGGTTAAGCAAAAACTCCTGCCAGAGTAGAGCTTATATGGGGGTAGGAGAGGCAGTGAGAGGGGAGCTACTGATGCACCTAGTTTACTTTTCCTAAGTGAATCACCTCACACTTATTTCTATTAATAGGGATACATCTATTGGTAGTACTCCGTTTCCCAAGTCATTTAAATCAAGACTACCTTTGTGATAATCATCACTGTCGCTCTTACCTATGTTGATAACAAATGAATATGTAATAAGCATACTTTCTAGTTCACCATCCATAGAATAATGTTTCTTCAAAGAAGGACAAAGCCTTTCAGCCTCTCCCACTAAGAAAACACTCTAGAGCATTAGAGATAAACTTACAAGATTATGACAGAAAGTGAAAGGGAAATACTGACGACAGTGAGATCTATAATCCGAAACAAATCACCTCAAAGGGTAGCTTACAATAAAACATCCAAGTCAGAAAACATTAAAATGCAGACGAGCTCTCTAAGAGCACCGCCACCTAGTCCTCTCCAAGACGGAAGAGGCACTCAACACACACGTGGTCTGACGTGCAGGCGTTAGTCAGGCTTTAGGATCGCTAGTTTTATACAGTGGAAAACAACTCTGATCCACCAAAGGAAAACTCAAAACTTGATCTCTGTCCAGGGATTTAATGGGTGAAGTAACAGAGTTTTGCACACACAGCACCTTCCCTGAGATTTATATGTAAATCCATGGGAGATGGTGAAATCATAGAAAAGTTTTAGCATTTACTGAGATAAGCAACATGGTACAGGAACCTGAGCATAGAAGAAAGGGGTGTGGCTCAGGAGGAAGAGAAAATATTGGAGAAAAAAATGTTACTTTTTTTTAAAATATATTTTATTGATTTTGTACAGAGAGGAAGGGAGAGAGGTAGAGAGTTAGAAACATCGATGAGAGAGAGTCATCGACCAGCTGCCTCTTGCACACCCCCTACTGGGGATATGCCCGCAACCAAGGTACATGCCCTTGACCGGAATCGAACCCGGGACCTTTCAGTCCCCAAGCCAACGCTCTATCCATTGAGCCAAACCGGTTTCGGCTGTTACTCTTTTTTTAAAGGAAAAATGAGTCGACAATATTCTTCCCAAGGAGGGCCCTTGGCAGTTGCACCCAGGAAAAGAGCATGACTTCTTTAAGGAGCTTACTTAAAGAAGGGGCTGAGACGGAAGGCAGAGGAAAGAGAAACCCAGAGGGATTAAAGGGAGGGAGGGGTGAGAAAAGACTGTTTAAAGGGGGCTTTAAAGGTAGAGAAAAAAGAAACATAGGGATGGAGAGTCATATTTCCCAAACTTCATGAGCAAAGTAGGAGTGAAGGGAAGAGAAGGTGGAGGCCTCTAAGAATTCACACCCTGTGCCCTCAGTTACAAACACAGTCTAGTTGCTAACAATATTAAATTCCAAAATGACTTGTAATGTAGGAAAATAAAATAAACATCCTGCACACTTACCCAATCCGGGTAAACAGCTTCCCATGGGCATGGAGAAAACTGAGGATGAACCTTTTGTTCAGCTGCATGGGAAAAAGAGAGGAGAAAACAATTAAACTTTCCCCAGTTTCCTGTTACTGAACAGAGTCCCTAGTGACACAATAACCTGGCCAGGGTCTAAGGGGTGGGCACTAGGGATGGGAACCAAATAGACATGCCCAAACTCTCACACAGGCCCAGGGCACATGCCCAACAGCTGCCGCTCAGCTGAACCAAAATGTCAGCAGCCTCAGTGAGCAGACAGCACCCTCTGCTGGCAGCAGTGCCTCTGTGCAGGGAATGAAGAGTTGAATCCCAGCTAAGCTGGGGTGGAAAGATGCCTGAAGCTCTCTGAAATTTAGGAGCCACTCTTGCACCATAATGATGGAAATGAAACACTGACATGGACAGGGATAATACTGATTTTGGATAAGTCCCTAATCTTACTTATTAGCTATTTTTCTATCTAACCAAGAAAACAGAACTCTTCTTTAGTAAACAAGGATAAAGTAACCCACCACTAACTAGCTCATCCAATTATACTTCTCCATCTTTTAAGACTAAAGTTCAATTTCAAGGTCTGGAGCTGAAAATTCAATTGTCTGCAGGAGACTAAGTTTGAAATAGGCTAGTGGAGACAGTAGTAATCTATGGCTGGTCCACTCTTTATGGACCCAAGATTATTTTTTCTTTCCTTTTTTATTTTATTTTTTGTCTTTTAAAGAAGAGCTGAAAGCTGGGTTTTTATGTGAAATCCTCTAGCTTTTAAATGTTGGCTACTAATGAAAAAAAAAAAAAAAGAAAAAGCAAACATTAGGCAAGCCCAAAACACAAACATGCCAGCCACATCTGGCCCATGAAGTAACAAATTTACAATCTCAGTTCCATGTTCTAGAAAACCTACTGCTATTAAAACTGAGGGGAGAGATTCCTCTGAGCAAAACAAGAGTGGGGGAGGGAGGATTCAACTCCAAAAAAAAGTGGATATAATAAAAGACCAAATCTTGTTGTCATCTTCCCTGGTCTCCTAGAAGCAATATGCTCAGAGGAGTCAAGAATCTTGATCTTAGGGGAGTGATTAGGGCAAGAAACAGTCTGGCACCTCTGGATACTTTGCTCAACAGAAAAAACTCTTTTGATTTACTCCCTTGCAAAACAGAACACCAATCAAGTTATGGCCAGTCTATCTATTTCATACAGAAGCTAGATGTGGGCAAAGGAGTGCATTCTCACCCCACCAATGATTTCAACGCCAAATTGTGCATACAAACTTCAATCTTTATCTTTGTTTAAACAAATTACAATTAGTCAGCAATACTATATTAAACATTGGTTTGTAGTTAAAAAGCTCAAGTTTCCCTAGCTGGTTTGACTCAGTGGATAGAGAATTGACCTGAGGACTGAGGGGTCCTGGGTTCGATTCCAGTCAAGAGCACATACCTTGGTTGCAGGCCTGATCCCTGGCCCTGGCTGGGCCATGTGCAGGAGGCAACCAATCGATGTGTCTGTGTCACATCGCTGTCTCTCCCCCTCCCTTCCACTCTAAAAATCAATGGAAAAATATCCTCAGGTGAGGATTAACAACAATAATAAAAGGCTCAGGACACTTAATTGAAAGTATCTCTCTCTACTGTTAGGTGAGTCAGGGCCAGGGACACTGAGTTCCATGAACAGAAGGGAAAGATGAGGAACTGCTGCAAAATAAATTGCCAGTGGTTACACCACCATTAGTGGCAAAATCTGGGCTAGCACACAAGTCTCTAGATCTACTGGTAGAGGAAAGTGGTGAAAAACATGGACTTTCCTGTCAAATCTCTGCCATTTACCTGCTGTGGAATCACAAACTACTGACTGAACCCCCCCTACATTTTTCTTTCTAAACATAGCGGTAACAGTACCCATATATTAATGGGTTGGTAGCTTGAGATAAGGCAAGTAAAAGCATGCTTGACTTGTTGTAAACACTCAATTGTTAGCTGAACATTCTATCCCAATGAAGATAAAACAAGTAGTAAAATGTTAACAACTAGATAATTTGGGTAAAGGCTATATGGGAGTTCTTTGTATTATTCTTACAATTTTTCTACAGTTATGAGATAAAAAGGTAAAATATCTATTCTCTCTCTATTTCTATTTTAATTCAATTATCCCTTTCCCCACAGCTATCATCATAAACTGGTTAACTCATCCATTACCAGGAGAAATCCTTTACCACTAGTTATATTTATACATACAGGATACTTTGATAGAAACAAAAAAAATATTAACCCATCTTGCCGAAACCGGTTTGGCTCAGTGGATAGAGCGTTGCTCTGACTGAAGGGTCCTGGGTTCGATTCCAGTCAAGGGCATGTACATTGGTTGTGGGCACATCCCCGGTAGGGGGTGTGCAGGGGGCAGCTGGTCGATGATTCTCTCTCATTGATGTTTCTATCTATCCCTCTCCCTTCCTCTCTGTGAAAAATCAATAGAATATATTTTTAAAAAAATATTAACCCATCTCATTCAAAGCAATTATCATTCCCTAAGCTACCATGCAGCTTAGAAATTTAAACAACTTAAAAAATTAAGTGGAAGAATTAGAATTTTCTGATTTCAAAAAGTTCTCCTTCCCTTATACTGCATCTATCTCAGGAAGAGAAATGGTGAGCTTTACTCATGAAGAGCTGATGAAAAAATAAGAGCAATAATAAGGCATATTATATTGATAAAGTAAAGAGCAACTCAGTTTTACTTTTAAGTTTTCCTTACCTATTAGATAAGAAACTCATACTGTGTGATCTACAATGCTTCCTGGAGTAAAATGAGAGCACTCCTTGTCTGTTTCTGAATATTGTGGTTCTATCTATACTTCCCCAAGATCCTTCCCTTAGGGTAATATTAGATGAAGCCCACTTAATTACCCGAATTTGCTCTGGCCATTACTGTATTTTATTGTACATAATAGAAAGTGAATTTCAATGCATTGTGTTTCCACCAGTGTGCAAAAAGGGAATCTTTGGGAACTTTTCAAACTAGAGGCAAAAATACATTATCTCTGATCTTAATCAATGAGTACCACTGCTTTATTTTTTAGTCTGAAAGTATCTGTCATCCTAAACATACAGTTGACCTTTGAACAACATACTTAAGTTTTTCTTAACTTCTTTCTTAGCTTACTTTATTGTAAGAATTTAATATTATTACATATAACATACAAAATAGGTATTAATCAACTATTTATGTTATCGATAAGGCCTCAGGTAGTTAGTAGTTAAAATGAGTCAAGCAGGCTATTAGTAGTTAAATGAGTCAAAAGCTATATATGGATTTTGGACAGTGCAGGTCATCAGAGCACTGACACCCAAAATTGTTCAAGGGTCAACTGCAATTGTTTTGTTTTAAATCATCAACAACATTTCAAGTAGGAAAGGAGTCAAAAATGTAGATGCATTCTAGAAAGAGGAAATAGGCATATTATATTGAGAAAGGTTTGTTAGACACTGACAATATGGGCCTAATCAACATTGTATGCAACAATATAAAGCCTTCTGTTTTGAAAAACCTAACTGATACCAAGTCCACAGTAAGAAAGTCTAGTCTTATTTGAGCTTTCTTCCCTCTCCAACATATCATGGACTAGCTTTCATTTTTGTAGCTTTTTGTGGATTGTTTGTTGTTGTTGTTGTTGTTGTTTGTTTTTAGAGAGGAAAGGGGGGACATCAATGTGAGAGATAAACATCAATTGGCTGCCTCTTGCACATACCCTGGACCTGTAACCTGCGTATGTGCATTTGGGACCCTGTTTTGCACCTTTTGGTGTATGGGATGATGCTCAAACCAACTGAGCCACACCAGCCAGGGCATAACTTTTTGTTTTTTAACAATACACTCAGATGGTCTTACTCAGGTAGAGAAAAAAATATTACTCCTCAAATGATGAGACTATTTGCCTCCAGATCTTTCTTGTACATTTACATATTAAACACCTGAAACTAAAAATGATTCTTAGGTATAGCCTCGAGGAAGTGTTATAATTATTAAAGGGCTCCTACCTCTTTATTTTAAGTCCAAACCCAAGTCACTATGTATGGACTCCTGAGCCTTTTGTACCATCTAAAAGCAATGAACTAAAGAGACACTACTGGCCGAAACCGGTTTGGCTCAGTGGATAGAGAGCTGGCCTGTGGACTGAAGGGTCCCAGGTTCGATTCCGGTCAAGGGCATGTACCTTGGTTGCGGGCACATCCCCAGTAGGGGGTGTGCAAGAGGCAGCTGATCGATGTTTCTAACTCTTTATCCCTCTCTCTTCCTCTCTGTAAAAAAATCAATAAAATATATATTTTTTTTTAATTTTTAATAAATAAATAAATAAATAAAGAGACACTACTGGCAGTAGCTAGATGGCTAAGTCTCTAGACACTCACAATTATGTCTGTTCTGCCATTAACTATGGGATTATGAGTAAAATGGTTTAGGTTGTTCCTCAACTATAAAATTTAATTTCTATCATTGGCACTGCCTAACTCCAGGCTGAAAGAACAAAAATAAATAATAGAAATTAAAGCATTTTGAAGAGTAAATGTTTTATGCAAGACCTGGTAAATATCACTTTAGTGCTTTGTGAACTGTGGAGCAAGGAAGGAGAAAGAAGCTGCTCAGAGACAAAAATACGACACAAGAGGAAAAGATTCTGAAATACACCCAATTTCCATTCCTAAATAGTTGCTCTTGCTTCTAAATAACTGTGTGTAAACTAAATTTCTAAAAAATGAATCACTTTAAGGATAGTAAGTGTATTCAGTATTAAAAGGAATTACAATGTTCATTTTTAAAGTGCTTTGGGAGCATTATCATTCTCTAATTAATCTGTCCAGAATATTTCTACTTTTATATATCAAGCATTTAAAAACGCACACTCATACATATACATACAAAAAACTTTGCTTGTTTTTAAAAGGAGGTTCTATCTCTTAGATATGAGATCAATTTCAATGGTACCTATTAGTAAATGTCTGGGACTTTCAGAACAGGCAATCAAAGCCCATGTATCATCTCCCTAAAG